ATTTTACTTGAAGTTTATCATCCAAATTGCTGTTTTATTTGTTTTTTGTTAATCTCTGAGAGAAGTTTATCCAACTATGACGACTTCCGCTGCTGAGAAACTCGGAAATGTGAAAAAAAGGTATATATAATAATTTTCATATATAATAAATTACTTGCGCCTCAGAACGACCAGACGAAACATAATAAACACAGTCATTGCTTTCAGAGGTGGATACTGCTGTTTGGGAACGCAGTCGTGCAAGACAGTTCTGGGAGGCAAATATACAGAAATACTTTGACGACAGACTTTGCTCAGGCATTTATGAATGACCATAACAACATTTCAGATGCTGTGCAATGAGATCAGTCCACTGGTTAGTCATAAGTCACATGACGTTTTTTAATACGCATGGAGGAATTTATTTGGCAAATGCGTTTCCATCTCCCATTATTCATATTAATGCTTTTTTTCACAAGTCAAAAACCACCTCAAGCGAGCGTAAAAACTTTTTGCAACTTTTTTTTTATTATTTCCATCTCGTTACTACGGAGTCCGGGAAGTCACCTGTTTGATGCGACACGTCAAAATGTGCATAAAAACAGGGTGATGGAAACATGGCTAATGTGATTGAATGAATCAGTTAATTGAGTGATAGTGACTCACTCATAAACACCTACTGGCGTAACAATGTACATACAAACAGCTGCTAATGAATCGGAAATCTGGCACATTTACAGAAAATATCTGAAAATATAACTTGCAAGTTGCAAAATTAAGTGTATACTCTGTGATGTTGGAAAACATATATGTCAAAAACACAGACCAAAACTTCAGTTTGTGCTTTTCTCACATTTTTCAAAGTGTAGCCTATAATAAGTTTTGTTTGTGCTGGATTGGGCCACTGACTTGATTTATTGGTGACATTTGCCGTTGGCAAAAAGTCTGGGCAAAAAGAAGTAGATTATTTAATAATATATGCCCCAAAATGCTGAATTTTGTGGACTTTTAAACTCGTTAAATTGTATCATGACTACTAAAATTTCTTGGGTTGTAGATGCACATGTGAATGTCCAAAAAATTCTTATATTTAATAATGCTGAAAAATAAGCAAATATTTACTTGATTAGTATAGTTTTGCATGTGATTTGGATTAATGCATTTATTTATTAATGCATTTAGGCCTCATATAGGTGGGTCAGTCCCCTTTGCACTCTTCCCAGCATGCTCTGGGGCATCAATAATCATGTGATGGTGACTTTCTGATCTTATGTTCATGTTGACAAAAGATGCTGTTAACAATGAATTCAATAATACTGAATAACACTGCATTGCACAAATGAAATTAATGACTACAACATCAATGATGATGACAGTGATGAAGGTGCAGTCTTGACTGCTCCACCAGCAGCTGTTGGGAGTTAGACATGTAGAAGTGTAGCGCAGTTTCCCTGTCACGGTCCTGTCAGTCAGCCCCTTCTGAACACCCTGAATGAATCCACCGCCTCACCCTGAAAACCCAAGGCAGACACATCGCACTTGTGCTTCACACCCCTTCTGAATTATTGGTCTGTATGTTTCCGCTTTCTTGGAAGTAGGAACAAGGTCCATTATTCACCAGATTTCTTGTCTGACAGCATGTCCTTGTAAATCAGCTACAGCACAGCTTTGGCTCTGGTCGATGCATCATGCTGGAATCATTTTCAGTAAGAAAAGAACCTGGCATTTCAGTGCACTGCATGTAAGACAAGTCATTATTTTTTTATTACTGTGTTTCCTGTGTGACTGAGCTCTCCATTGCTCATATATAGTGCAATATTTGTTTCTAGGGTTAAATAAGTTTTATGTCTTTTGAAACAGTTTCAGTGTCTATATCACACTTCATTCTTGTTATTTTTACATTTCCTAGTGTTTTTCAGTCATTTAATAAAATGTGCATCTGCAGACAAAGCATATAAGACAAAAATATAGCGGGCATCCCTGCTCTCTCTCAGTCACATAACACTTTCACAGCTGTTTACATAAATATATTATATGTAATTTATATACAGGTGCATCTCAATAAATTAGAATGTCGTGGAAAAGTTCATTTATTTCAGTAATTCAACTCAAATTGTGAAACTCGTGTATTAAATAAATTCAATGCACACAGACTGAAGTAGTTTAAGTCTTTGGTTCTTTTAATTGTGATGATTTTGGCTCACATTTAACAAAAACCAATAAAATAAAACCAATAAAAAAAACATTTTTAGTGAATTGTTGGCAATCTTATATATATATATATACATATATATATATATATATATATACAGATATATATATATACAGATATAGATATATTATATTTTACAAGGGAGTCAAGTTTTCACACGTTATTTATATATATATATATATATGAAGACCACAGATGCAAAAACCTCTTAGATTTTTCTGACATTTTTTCTTTTTAAATGCACATTTTTATCACGCTCCTATGTTTAGGTTAAGTAATTTCACTTTAATGGCAAAGAAAAGGTTATTAGTCAGTTATTGAATGCCTTATTTTCAAAAACATCCAATGTTGTGTTGCTGTCTATGCAGAAAGCTCTTGGATTTCATCAGAAATATCTTAAATTGTGTTCCGAAAATTAACAAAGGTCTTATGGGTTTGGAACGACATGAGGGTGAGTAATTAATGACAGCATTTTCATTTTTGAGTGAACTAACCCTTTAAGTATTTTTTTCTCTTCTTTCCAACTCTGTTCTTTTATTATACATTCCCTTTCCTTTTTTCCTTAGAAGTTTTTTTTTTTCACTTTCTTTATTCCTTTCTATCTTATATTGTTTCTGTGTCCTGATTTTTTTCTTGCCAGGTCTCAAGAATTGTCTGCATTACACTAAATAACCAGAATATAACAGACAAAATTACTTACAAAACATGTCTTGTAAAATCAGTAAGGTCCTTTTCAAGGAAGAGTGGAAGGCCGTGGAGAACTGCTGTTCATCGCCCATTGATGTTAGATGTCTGTACAATTATTAAAAAAACTCATATTTAATATCACTCAAAGCACAAGCATTCAGCATAACATATAATGAATATCTACTTATTCTGTGCAGGGTTTCACAAAACTGCAAAGTATGATTTTTCATTAAGCACACCTATGTGAATAAGCATATACTATGTGGAAACATGGAATTGGAGAATTTTCATATTCCATAGCTTCCATATTTTAATAAGTTTTTCAGCAGTTGAGCTCTCTTTTCACTCAATAAACAAGTAGAACTTCCACTTCCACTGCATGAGTTTAAGTCCCCAAAAAAAGAGCACATAGAATATGACAAGAAAATGGTTATAATTAGTGCTGGGCATTGACGCACATTTAAAAACTATTTCTAAACTAAAAAGTTTCTACTCCAAATCATTTTCTGAAATATAAACATTTAAACAGTGGTTGTGATGATAACTTGTTTTCATGACATTTGTTCAAACATTAAATGCTGAAAAACGGATTACATAAGACATGATAAATTTCATTAAGGTGTACTGTATCGCTCAACATACTTTATGATGCTTACTCACGTTTATTTCATGTTATAACTAGCAGTAAAGAGGAAGATCGATGCTTGTAATCTAGCTTGTAAGCCACTGGCTAGCTAGTACGCTAACTGACGGTTACAGTAATGCTCGTCAGTAAAAACTAATAAAATCTGCCTTTTCTTTTCCTCAAAAACGATAGCACACACTGTGACAATATAGTTTATAAGTAGATCACCAAAAACTTACCTAATCTTGCTGCCACATTTCAAACACGATCTGACTCTGAAGTTCAGTTCGTTGTCTTCTTCTGGTGATGTTTTGTTTAAACCAACCTTCCGCCACCTATTGGTGCACTTCCGCCACCTACTGGTCTAGAGTTATTAGGGCACATAGTGGGATTTAATCCAACAAACTAGATGCTCTTAAGTACTGTTTACTAAAGTTGTTTAGTTTAACTATTGCATCCACCTGAAAGTTCACATAACACAGTGTAATTAAGTAAATTCAACAAATTTGTAAAAATCAGTTATGTTTACTCGCTTTTCTTAAGTAGATTCAGTGATTACTTTTTACAGTGAAGAAGGAAAAGACAGACTGCAGGGAAAGAGAATGAGAGGGCTGCTTTGAAACAGCACATATCAGTGCTGCGTGATGACACATACGCATTGTGAGTAACAAATAGTTTAACAATATGCCGCAGTTTAGGGCAAGGTATATCGAGCGGAAATACTACACATCATCAAAAACAAACACTTCTCTCAAACCTCTTATCAGCTCTTGACTGAAAAAACATTATATGTGGGGTGAGTACAGGTGCAAAGCAGGTGGATATCGCAGTGAATACATAATAGCTCAATGGGAAATCCAGAGAAAGGAGAATGCAGCTGTCTGTATTGCCTTGCTGCCTACATAGGGAGCTACCTTCAAAGGCAGCGTTCTAACCGTAATGGAATCTCATAAGTGAATGATTCGGAACACTCTGCATCCTTGGCTTCAAACTCAAGATCCATAAAGCGCCAGGAATTTGTGAACTGTAAAACAAACCGAAGTTAAAGGGGTTATATTATGTTGCTAAAAAGAACATTATTTTGTGTATTTGGTGTAATGAAATGTGTTTATGCGGTTTAAAGTTAAAAAAACACATTATTTTCCACATACTGTACATTATTGTTTCTCCTCTATGCCCCGCCTTTTTGAAACGCGTCGATTTTTACAAAGCTCATCGTTCTGAAAAAGCGAGGTGTGCTGTGATTGGCCAGCTATCCAGTGCGTTGTGATTGGCCGAATACCTCAAGCGTGAGACGGAAATGTTACGCCCCTCACCATACTGTGTTGATGCCGTGTCCGGCCGGAGCGACGAGACATAAACATTAAAACCCATTACAAACGAGGCATTTGTTGCATCCAGTGGGGACATAATTACTGATTATAATGACTTATACTGTCTTTTTACGCGTTGCGTTGCATTGCGCCGTTAAACAGTCCTCCATAAAATGTGCCGGCAATCCACAGCACTAAGTTGATGTATTCCCTCAGCGACCAGCACAGATCAGCTCTAGGCATGACGAAGCGGATATCGTCCTCTTTTGGAAGACCAAACAAAGTAGTTTCGCTTTCACAATGAAATACACAACGGCTTGAGTGAGCGGCGCCCGGCGGATTCGACGAAGGAGGCTTGCGGCAACCACATGTGACGACCCCGGGCTTCGTCCACGGTGAAAGCCGATCCGGTGATCCACAGCACTAAGTTGATGTATTCCCTCAGCGACCAGCACAGATCAGCTCTAGGCATGACGAAGCGGATATCGTCCTCTTTTGGAAGATCAAACAAAGTAGTTTCGCTTTCACAACGAAGCACACAGCGGCCTAGCGTGAGCGAAAGCCCCGGCTTACCGTGAGCTGAGGCCGGGCAAGAGTGAGCTGAGGCGGCGGGGTCGAGAACGGCGGTCCCGGCGAAGGAGCGGTGAAAGCCGATCCGGCGATCCACAGCACTAAGTTGATGTATTTCCTCAGCGACCAGCACAGATCAGCTCTAGGCATGGCGAAGCGGATATCGTCCTCTTTTGGAAGACCAAACAAAGTGGTTTCGCTTTCACAACGAAGCACACAGCGTCTTCACGACATGGCTGCAGCGTCAACAATACTACAGCGAGAATAAAAGTTATGCTTTCTTTCTTTGCGTGAACATTTGGGCGGCTTTATGCAAATCTTCCCACATAGTGAGGTAGGTATGTGGGGGCGTGTTCGAACGAGCCGTTTTAGGTAGGTGTGGCTAACTCTTAACTTTTATAAAGAATATCTCTTTGGATTTGAGACTTTAGTCTTTGCAACTTTACAGATCTTCTTTATGCACCAAGAGCTTGTAACACTCTAAAGAGAAAGGAAAAAATGAAATCGCATCATATGACCCCTTTAAAAGAAAAATCTCAGATGGAAAGTTTTTGCATCTGAAGTGTTCATAGATAGATAGATAGATAGATAGATAGATAGATAAAATTATACTTTAACAGGGAGACCAGGACAAGTTGTCACACCTGTTTTAAATGTATATATTATATTTAATATAAATCTAAAATATTTGATATAATAATATTTCTATTATTATGTAATAAATTATCTATAAATTGTATTACTATTTATTATTTTTATATACATTATATATATTGTTTTTACATATTTTTATAATGTTTTACAAAATAAATGAAATATGACCAACATTAGAATAATTAAACAAACTTAGCAAGTTTTCTGTTTTTTGAATGAATTATTTCTCTTTTTCTTTGACACACACTCTCTCTCTCTGACTCTTTTTCTGCGTTTGTTTTACTCTGTCATGAATGAATGAACATGGCTCAGTTTCCCCCTTGATTAAACGCGGGGCAATTTGCCTTGTGGTTTTGTAGGGTTAGCGTTAACATATTCTGACAGAACCAAATCCACAGAAGCTTTTATTTGGCCAGTAAACCAGACGCTTCACATAAGCATGCTTTGGTAGTCTGTTGTTTATATACAGACACACTAGCTCATGTAACACTAAATTTAAAAAATGCAAAAACCCGACACGGTCTCTCGCGACTCTGCTGGAAAGCATGCAATCCTACCGAAGTATTTCTAAGGAAAAATGTATTTTCTTCCATGTTATTTGTATTATATGCATTCTTGTTTCAAGTAACCTTCTTTATTCTGAGAGATAAGCATCAAAATATCAATACAAGTTAGTACGTTCCTCAGCAAAAATTATTATTTCTATTTAGGTTATTCACATTCTGGATGGAGCCTTTCGGCCTAATTGGGGGTTTGGAGATAATAGCTCTTTCAGAGTGCTGTTGTCAAAGGAATGGAAGTTTCTGGAAAGTCCTCTGGCAGTTGGTGCATTGAGTATTCAGTGTGAGGCCCTGGCCTGTCTCAAGTGCTCACAGCTGGATGCTCTAGAAGACTGGAGAACTGAAGCCGTGTCAGGAGACTGAATAGGCCTCGCTGTATAGGCCTCTGTCCTTATTTACTCGCGGAGTTGGAACCTCTTGTGTTTGAGCTCAAATTGAGATGCATACCTGAGCACGGCTGAATCAAGAAAAACTAAAGCTATTCATCCAATTCTTGGAAATTGGTTATTTGCTTCTTTGTCATATTCTTTCTCATCTTTATAAATTAATTAGCTGTGATTGTTTCCCACAGCGCAGTCTTTCCTTAAATGAACATAATATTTTTAAATTATATATAAATGTTTATATTTTATATGTTTATATTAATTCATGCAGTAAAAACAGTAGTATTGTGAAATATTTTTTTTTTTATAATTTAAAAGAACTGTTTTCTTTTTTTAGTATATATGTTAAAATGTAATGTATTCCTGTGATGTCTTAGATGAATTTTCAGCAGCAATTACTCCAGTCTTCAGTGTCACATGATCCTTCACAAATCTTTCTAATATGCTGATTTGGCGACTCTGCTGGAAAGCATGCAATCCTACCGAAGTATTTCTAAGGAAAAATGTATTTTCTTCCATGTTATTTGTATTATATGCATTCTTGTTTCAAGTAACCTTCTTTATTCTGAGAGATAAGCATCAAAATATCAATACAAGTTAGTACGTTCCTCAGCAAAAATTATTATTTCTATTTAGGTTATTCACATTCTGGATGGAGCCTTTCGGCCTAATTGGGGGTTTGGAGATAATAGCTCTTTCAGAGTGCTGTTGTCAAAGGAATGGAAGTTTCTGGAAAGTCCTCTGGCAGTTGGTGCATTGAGTATTCAGTGTGAGGCCCTGGCCTGTCTCAAGTGCTCACAGCTGGATGCTCTAGAAGACTGGAGAACTGAAGCCGTGTCAGGAGACTGAATAGGCCTCGCTGTATAGGCCTCTGTCCTTATTTACTCGCGGAGTTGGAACCTCTTGTGTTTGAGCTCAAATTGAGATGCATACCTGAGCACGGCTGAATCAAGAAAAACTAAAGCTATTCATCCAATTCTTGGAAATTGGTTATTTGCTTCTTTGTCATATTCTTTCTCATCTTTATAAATTAATTAGCTGTGATTGTTTCCCACAGCGCAGTCTTTCCTTAAATGAACATAATATTTTTAAATTATATATAAATGTTTATATTTTATATGTTTATATTAATTCATGCAGTAAAAACAGTAGTATTGTGAAATATTTTTTTTTTTATAATTTAAAAGAACTGTTTTCTTTTTTTAGTATATATGTTAAAATGTAATGTATTCCTGTGATGTCTTAGATGAATTTTCAGCAGCAATTACTCCAGTCTTCAGTGTCACATGATCCTTCACAAATCTTTCTAATATGCTGATTTGCTGCTCAAGAAACATTTCTTATTATTATCAATGTTGAAAACTGTTTTTTTTGCTGTTCAATATTTTTGCAAAAAACATGAAATACTACCATCTAAAAGTTTTTTTTTAAAGAAGAAATTAATACTTTTATTCAGCAAGGATGCATTAAATGTGATGGTAAAGAATGTCACAAAATATTTCTGTTTAAAAAAAATGCTATTTACATATTACTGATTAAATAATATTTTAAAAATCATTAAATTTCCTTTGGTTTTATCGTATTAAAAGGAATTTTGGTAACACTTTACAATAAGGTTCATTAGTTAACTACTTTAGTTAACATGAACTAAGCATGAACAATACTTCTACAGCATTTATTAATCTTAGTTAATGTTAATTTCAACATTTACTAATGCATTATTCAAATCAAAAGTTGGGCTTGTTAACATTAGTTAATGCACTGTGAATTAACATGAACTAACAATGTTCAACTGTATTTTTCATTTACTAACATTAACAAAGATGAATAAATACTGTAATAAATGTATGGTTCATTGTTCATTCATGTTAGTTAATACATGAACTAATGGAATCTTATTGAAAAGTGTTACCGGAATATTTATATATTTTTTATATTCTATTTTATATTCTATTTCATTATATATGATGATTTATGTATGAAAAACATCCAATATGGACAGTAAGAAAACTTCTGTGTAAAAACATAATTGTAAATGCATGTGCATTGTGAGAATAAAGCTGCCAAACACACCTACATGC